CCGACCGCGAAGCGGAGGACGCCGCCGCCGCGGTCGTCGCAGGTCGTCGCCGCGCCGCGCCCCTCCCAGGCGCTCCAGCCCGGGAAGGACGCCTCGACGGCCCGGAGCTCCTCCGGCGGCGACGCGTCGACGCGCGCGCCGCAGCGGCCGAGCCACGCGCGCCACTCGTCGCCGTCGTCGCGGCCGCCGAGGACGCCGCCGTCGACGAGGCGCCCCAGCTCCGCCGCCGCGGCGCGGAGCCCCGCGCCGTCCGCGGCCGCGGCGGCCGCGGCGACGGCCGCGGCCGCGCGGCGCGCGGCGGCGACGGCCGCGGCCCGGCGCCGCGCGGCGGCGCCGCGCGCCGTCGGGTGCAGCCGCGCGGCCGCGGACCGGAGCCGGCGGCCGGCGACGAGCGCGTCCGCGACGACGTCCGCGGCCGCGACGGGCCGCGGGCGCTCCGACGCGTGGCCCGGGGGCGCCGGCGCCGCACTCCGGCACCGGAAGCCGGCGGCGCACGCGCCGCAGCGGTGCGCCGCGAACTGGTCGACGCCCGGCAGGTGGCTCACGCACGCCGCGTGCTGCCAGCTCTCGCAGGCGACGCACTGCACGTACTCCCGCGACGCCTGCTCCGAATTCCGCACGAACTCGCCGCAGTCGCAGTCGACGACGTAGAGCGCCAGGGACGCGCGCCGGGCCCAGGGCTCGAGAGGCAGGCTCGGCGCCGACGGCAGCCAGCCGCCCTCCTCGAGCAGCAGCCGCAGGTCGTCCACGAAGACCATCGGCGAAGCGCGACCTCTCACGGAGCGCCCATATCGAAAGGGCAGCCCGAAGCTCATTCAAGAACGCACGTTTACCAAATTGATGAAGGGGAGTTGCACTCAGCAGCCCCGATGAAAGCGGAGAGATAGCCAGCCTGGCGTGCAGCTCGTGCATCCGGTATCGACTCGAGGTGCGCCGACTCGAGGTGCGCCGCCCGGCGCCGACTCGATGGCGTCGTTGGTCGGCGCGGCGGGCGCCTACTGCGAGGTGCGCTGGGTCGAGGGCGGCCTGCTGCTGAAGACGGCGCGGCTCGCGCTGCATCCCAACGACGACGCCGCGCGCGTGCGCTCCTTCGCCGCCGAGGCCTTCGGCATCCCGCTGGCGGACCTGCGCGTCTCCGGGCCCGGCGGCGAGCACGTCGACGACGACGACGTCTGCTGGCCGCGGGACGCGCGCGGCGCGGCCGTCGTCGTCGCCGAGGAGGCGCCGCCGGACCGGCCGCGGCCGCCGCGGCCCGTCGTGACGGCGTCCGGGTGCGAGGTCCGCGTGCGCCGGCCGCCCGACGCCGGCCCCTTCGCCCGGCTCGCGCGGGGCCAGCGCGCGAAGCTCCACCTCGTCGGGCGCCTCGTCGGCGGCGGCGGCGGCGTCTTCGAGGCGACGCGGAGCCTGCGGGCCCGCGCGCCCTTCGAGGCCGAGGTCGGCGGCGGCGGCGTCATCGCCGGCCTGCGCGAGGCGCTCGAGCTCCTGGGCCTCGGCGCCGTCGCGGACGTGCGCGTGCCGGCGGCCGCGGCCTACGGGGACAACGAGGTCGGCAAGGACGGCCGCACGATCCGGAAGCGTTCGCCCCTCGACTTCGAGGTCCACGTCGTCGAGGTCGACGGCGTCGCCTGCGCGGCCCCGGGGCCGCCGCCGCGCGCGGCGCTCCTCGAGGCCTTCCCCCCGCACCGGCCGCAGTGGATCGGCCGCTACGCGCTGCCCGGCCCCTTGCCCGAGTACGTCTCGTTCTGCGCCGTCGCGGCGCGCGCGGGCGGCGCGGCGCGCGTCGGCGTCGACGACGTCCCCGGCGGCGCGCTTCCCCTGCCGGCGCGGGCGCCGCGGCCCGGCTGGGACGGGTCCCGGGGCGCCGGCGACTGCGGCGTCTACCGCGACGGCTTCCGGCGCGGGTGGCGGGCCTGGGGCTGGGACGACCTCGGCGGCGGCCCCGCGGGCGACGCGCGCGTGCTCTCCAAGTGGCGCGCGCCGACGCTGCGCACGGACACGCTCCGCGAGAGCCCCGTCTTCGAGAGCAGCCTCCGCGAGTACGTCGCCTACGCGCGCGCCGTGGAGCGCTACGACGGCGCCTGCGACGTCCGCAAGCACGCGTCGTGCCCGCGCTGCTACCTCAACGGCCTGCCCATCTTCAACGTCGCGCCGGCGCTCCGCGGCGACGTCGACGACCGCCCGGCGTGGCTCGCGGACGACAGCGAGACGCTCATGGCGGCCTGGGACGCGACCGTCGCGCGCGCGGTCGGCAGGCCCGCGGCGCCCGACGCGGCGGACCTCGCGGACCGGTCCTGGTCCCTGACGAAGGTCTTCGTCGCGCCGCCGGGCGCGATCACGCGGCTCCACTACGACAACGGCCACGCGCACGCCTGTGTGGAAATCAACCGCTGGTGTGGGGGGTCCCCACCAAACTTCAGAACTCTCTATCTCGGTCACATCGAAGTCGATTCGGCTGATTTTTGGACGAATCGATTGCTCTCGTCGAGTTCTCGAAGCAAGGCGAAAAAGTCTGGTCCAAACCGTTCAATTACGCGCACATTGAAGTCGGGTTGAAGATTTGGTTTCCACGCAGGCGCACGCGTGGCTGTCCATGGTCAAGGGCCGCAAGCTCTTCGTCTGCTTCGACCCGAAGGACGCGGAGCACCTCCACGCGATCCCCGGCGACGACGGCGTCACGCGCAACAACAGCGACGTCGACCCCCTCGCGCCGGACCTCGACCGGTTCCCGGGCTACGAGCGCGCGACGCCGCTCGTCGCCGTCCTCGAGGAGGGCGACACGCTGCTCGCGCCCGCGGGCTGGTGGCACTACGCCGTGAGCCTGACGGCGTCGATCATGGTCATGCGCAACTTCTGGTCCGCGGACACGAACGGCACACTCTGGCTCGCGGACCAGCGCGCGGCCTTCGCCGCGCGCGTCGCCGCGCTCCGGGACGCGCAGAAGAAGGGCGCGGACCACGCGCGGGCCCTCGGCCTCGACCCGGCGTCGCCCGAGGCGAAGCTCCTCGTCCAGGCCCACCTCGACGCGGCGAATAAGTGAGTCCGGGGGTCGCTGCAATAACGTCACACTCATGATCTGTGCAGAGATGGTGCCGCTTCGAATTTATCAGCATGTGCGAGCGCGAGCTCGCGTTCATTGACCTGACGCAGCGGCAGCTTGCCTCGGGTGGCGACATTGATGAACTCGTTTTGTTGTCCAGGGATTACGGCCATGGTGAGACGCGCCTGTGGTACGCAGTGTGTCGCGGCTGGTGCTCGGCCATCACGTGGCTACTCGAGCAGGGCGCCGACGTCAACGCTGGCTGGCCCGGTCCTGGTTGGACGCCACTGCACGCCGCCGCTTGCTATGACCAACACGACGCAGCGGTCCTCCTGCTCGACGCGGGCGCGCGAGTCGATGCACGCGAGCCCGAAGGAGAGACCGCGCTCCACCATGCTGTCAAGTTCGGACACATTGATCTCTGCAAGCTCCTCGTGAGCCGCGGCGCGTCGCTCGACGCGCGCGCCAACGACGGCCGAGACCTCGAGGCCTACGCGCGAAGCTGCGGCTCCACGGCCAAGGTCGCCCTCCTCGCCGCGGTCCGCGCCGCGGGCGGCTGGCGCCCATACGTCGACGCGCCGCGCAAGGAACTCGTCGCCCTACGCCGCGAGCTGCCGACGCGCCGCCGCACCGGCCCGTGCCGCGCGCGCGCGCAAGCCCGGCTCTTCCTCGACGCCCGCGTCCCCGACGACGTGTTCGCGCACGTGCTCGCGTTCTGGCGCGGCGCCCGCGACCTCTAGGCGCGACCAAGCCGGGCGTTACTGCGCGATGTAGCGCCCGAGGGGGAGGCGGATCGTGTCGGCGAGGTCGTGCGCGGGCTCCGCGTCGAGGAGGCACGTGAACTTTGGGTGCGCGAGGTCGTCGAAGGGCGAGGCGCGCTCGAGGAGCCGGAGGTCCGCGAGGCGCGCGAGGGAGCGGAGGAGGTGGGGGTCGCGGAGGTCCGGCTCGGCGCCGAGGTGCTCCGCGGCGAGGTACGCGTGGACGCCGAGGAGCCGGTCGAGCGGCACGGCCGCGGGCCCGTCGACGGGGAGCCGCGTCGCGTCGCGCGGCCGCTTCCGGGGCCCGCGGCGCGCGGCGCCGTGGGCGAAGAGCTCGGCGTCGCGGTCCCGGGGGCTCCGCGAGCAGACGTAGGCCGCGAGGAGGAGGAGCGCGTCGCCGCGCGGCAGGTCCGGCGGCGGCGGCGGCGGCGGCGGCCGGCCGCCGGCGTCGACGAGCGCGTCGACGTCGAGCTCCGCGTCCCGGAGCCGCGGCAGGGCCGCGCGGAGCGCCGGGAGCACGGCGCCGTAGGCCGCGGCCGCGCCGCCCGCCGCGTGCGCGGCCGCGTAGGCCTCCCAGAGCTTCCGGGACGACGCGAGGACGAGGAGCTCGCCGACGCCGCTCGTCGCGCGCTTCGCGACGGCGGCGACGGCGGCGCAGAAGGCGCCGTAGACCGCGCGGTCGCCGCCCCCGAAGGCGAGCGCGCCCCGCCTTTCGCCCGCGGCGGCGACGGCGGCCGCGACGGCCGCGGGGCCGTAGGGCGGGAAGTCGACGCGGACCGGGTCCCGGAGCCGCGGCCCCGCCGCCGCCGCGAGGCGCCGGTCGTCGCCGATCAAGACGACGCGGCAGTCCGTGGACGCGCAGAGCCGCGCGGCCGCGAACAGCTGCGCGGCGGCCGCGCCCGCGGGCTCGTCGCCGGCCGCCGCGCCGCAGCGGTAGGGCGGCAGGAGCCGCTCGCAGGCGTCCACGACGACGACGCACAGGCCGCGGCCGCCGTCCCAGGCCGGGCCGTCGCGCGCGAGGTCGTCGACGCGGCGCGCGAAGGCCGCGGCGTCGCGGCACGCGCGTTCGGCCGCGGGCGCGGGGTCGCCGCGGCGCTCGCGGAGGCTCCGCGCGGCGGCGTCGAAGAGGCGCGGCGCCGACGCGCCGCCGGCCGCCGCCAGGGCGCCGCCGTCGACCCACGCGCTCGGCAGCCGGAGGCCCGCGACGGCCGCGGCGACGACGGACGTCTTCCCGCCGCCGGGAGGGCCGGCGACGACGACGGGGCCGTCGCCCGGCGCGAGCAGCGCGCCGGCGAGCGCCGCGAGCTCGCGGCGCCGGCCGGGCCAGGCGCGGCCCAGGGCCGCGAGCACGGCGTCGACGTCGAACGCCGCGTCGGCCGGCGCCGCGGCGCCCGCCGGCGCCGCGGGCGCCGCGGGCGCCGGCGGCGCGCGCGGCTGCGCGAGGCCGATGGACTCGAGGAACGCGTGGTTCCGCGCGATGTTCTCGTTCCGCTCCTGCTCGTAGGCGCAGAGCGCCTCGGGCGAGCTCATGGCACACGCTGTTCGCACCAAGGCTAGTGCGCTCGGTCCATGCCCTGTGTTCAAATGTTCAGCAAGCTGATCTTGACGTCGCCTGTGATGTTTTTGATGGTCCATCACGCCTGCGCGCGCGCCGCCCGAGGTCCCCATCGTCATGAGCGGCTGGGCCCAGCAGCGAAAGCCGACGGCGCTGCAGCAGCTCGAGACGCTCGAGCGGCCGCCGACGGCGCTGGCCCGCGACGAGAAGGCGCGGTCGGCCCTCGTCGACGGCTTCGCGTCGGGCCTCTCGGTCGTCGAGCTGCGGGGCTGCTGGGACGCCTGCGTCGGCGAGGCCTGCGGCGTCGCCGCGGCGGCCGTCGCCGCGAGCCCGGGCAAGCGCACGCCGCGCCTGGCGACGCGGGAGCCGGCCTGCCGCGCGCTCCTGAAGCGCTGCGCGGGCCTCGTCGTCGAGGACGCGGCCGCGGCGTACGACGCGGACCGGCACGTGCCCCGCGAGTGCGGGCTCCAGATGGCCGAGCTCGGGTGGCCGGCGCGGCGCGACGACGCCGACGCGTTCTTCGTCCACGGCTACATGCACGCGTCCGCCTGCGTGACGCTCGCGGTCCTCAGCAGGGCAGGACAAGAGAGCGAAATTCCCAATTTCAAAGGCTCCTTTCTCGGCCGTTTTCCACTCGTTTTGGCTGATTTTTGGACGAGCGATCATCTCTCGGAACGGTCTCGAAGCGTGGATGCTTTTTCCGGAACGCGCGCGCGCGGAACACTCACGTTGAAGCTACGTTCAATCTCTCTTGTCCTGCCCAGGTCCTCAGCCGCTGCCGCTCCGGCGTCGACTGGCGCCTCGTCTTCGGCCGCGGGGACCCGGGCGGCAAAACGAGTGATTCGCTTCAACGTGGGTGTTCCGCGCGCGATCGTTCCAGAAAGAAACATCCACGGAATGTCGCACCCTTTTCCTGCCCTGGCGGGGACCCGGGCAGGAACGGACGCGACTTCGCCGTTCGCGCGGGCGCGCGCGTCGGTCCGTCGAGCGTCTCGGTCGCAGGCGAGTACGCGGCCGTCGTCGGGAACCTGGCGACGCGGCGGCCCGTCGTCGTCGACCTCGCGGCGGCGAAGCTCGGCTACGACCCGCGGGACCTGCTCAAGCGCGTCGTCGCCCGGAGCCGGTTCCTGATCTTGGACGCGTCGACGTTCCTCGACCGCGTCGAGGCGCTCGGCGTCTTCCGGCGGCGGCCCATGCCCGCCTGGGCGCCCGCGGCGTCGCCCGAGGCCTTCGCGGCGCTCCTGCCGACGCTGCCCGCCGCGGACCGCTGGGGCGCGGAGCCCCCGAAGCCCGCGCCGAGGCCGCGCGCGCTGGCGTTCGTGCCCGCGGGCGACGGCGAGTGGCTCGACCTCCGCGCGCGCGCGGGCGCGGCCTTCGGCCGCAGGTCCGTGCGCCGCGGCGAGCGGCTCCGGGCCGTCCGCGAGGCCGCGGGGCTCTACGAGGCCGCGCTCTCCGCGCTCCGGCGGAGCCGGCGGCCCGCGGCGGACCCGCCGCTCGCGGCCGTGTGGAAATCAAATATTCAACCCGACTTCAATGTGAGCGTATGCGAAAGTTTCGACGCAAGGTCTTTGGCTGTGCTTCGAGAACTCGACGCGAGCAATCGATTCGTCCAAAAATCACCCGAATCGACTTCGATTTGGCCGAGCTCGAGAGGTTTGAAGTTTTTGCTGGACAGGGCGTTCCACTGGTTGATTTCCACACAGGCTCGCGGGCCTCGGGCCGGCGGACCGGCGGCGCGCGGCCGCGGCGACGCTCCTCGGCAACCGCGCGGCCTGCGCCGCGGAGGCCGGCGACGACGTCGCCGCGGCGCTCGACTGCCGGTACGACGCCATCGGCGCCGGCGCCGCGGTCGCGGACCGCCGCGGCCGCGTCGCGGGCCGCCTCGCCCGCTGCGCGGACCGGCTCGGCGCCGCCGCCGGCTGGCCCCGGGCGACGGCCGTAGCGCCGACGACGGCGGCCCGCGACGGCTTCGCGCCGCGGCTCCTCCGCTGCTTCCTCGCGCAGGACTACCCCGGCGGCCTCGACCTCGTCGTCGTCGGCGAGGCGGCGAACTCGCCGTGGGCGGCCCTCGCGGCGGCCCACGACGCCGTGACCTACGTCGTCGCGCCGCCGGGGTCGACGCTCGGCGCGAAGCGGAACCTCGCCGTGGCGCGCGCCGCCGGCACCGTCGTGCTCCACTTCGACGACGACGACGTCTACGCGCCGTCTTACGCGCGCATTGCGGTCTGGCCCCTCGCCGCGGGCCTGGGCTTCGCCGTGTCGAAGCGGAGCGCCTGGGCCGCCTTCGACGCGACCACGGGCCTCGCGCCGTGTGGAAATCAAATATTCAACCCGACTTCAATGTGCGCGGAATTGAACGGATTGAGCCGCACTCTTCGGCTGTGCTTCGAGAACTCGATGAGAGCAATCGATTCGTCCAAAAATCAGCCGAATCGACTTCGATTTGATCGAGATAGAGAGTTCTGAAGTTTGGTGGGGACCCCCCAAACCAGTGGTTGATTTCCACGCAGGCCTCGCGGGCCACGTCGACGCGGACGAGGCCAACGCCGCGCTCGAATCCGCGCGACGCCGCGCCGGGCTCCGCCGCGAGCGCCGACTTCGACCGCCGGCGCGCGCGAGCGCCGTCGACGGGGCCGACGTTCGGACGAGGCGCGCGCGCTCGTCGCGCGCTCGACGCGCGGGGCCGGGTCACCGCCGTCCGACGCTTCGACGCGTGTCAGGCGCCGGAGAACGCGCGATCGTTCCTCCGCGACGCGCGGACGTCCTACGGCTTCAGCCTCGCCTACGACAGGGCCTACGCGGCGGCGCACCCCTTCGAGGCCGACCTGTCCCTCGGCGAGGACGCCAAGTTCCTCCGGTCCGCGGACCCGCGCGTCGTCTGCTACCACCGCGACGCGTCCGCGAGCTGCCTCCACGTGCAGCACGGCGAGAACGCGACCAAGTCCGTGGCCCTCGAGTCCGCGGGGCCCGACTTCCTCGCCGCGTCGCCCCTCGCCGCCGTCGTCGACGCGGGCTTCTTCGCGCCGCGCGCGTCGGACGGCGACGCCGCGGGCCTCTTCGTCTTCGACGCGGCCCGGGCCGCGACGGCGGGCGACGACGACCAACTCCGGGGCCTCCTCCTCCACTTCATCAACTCCGACGCGGGCCACGCGGAGGACCGCGGCGCGAAGCTCGGCATCTAGGCGCGCCTTCGTCGCGCGGCGGGCGCGACGGGTCGTCAGACACGAAGGAACTTACACGAAGGGTCGCGAGGGGCGTGGGCTCGCTTGGGGCTTGGGCTCGCTTGGGGCGTGGGCTCGCTTGCCAGTGAGGGGGGGGTGACGGAAAATGAATTCCGACTTCCGCGACGCCATTATCCAAGCAATCCTGGGTTCCTACTCGGAGGTGGTAACTGACGGGGATCCTGTCCTAAAATCTGGGGCTGGGACCGCGTTTGGACGCGCCTGGGAGGCGTCGAATCGAGCAAAAGCTGGGTTTTCATTGGTCGAAATCCTCGGACAAAAAGATCGCGGGCGGCGTCGAGAGCTCCTGAGCTCGGGCCGGCTTGAGAGGCTGTGGGCGCGTCCGTCGGCGCTCTGTGCGCGTCCCTCCCGGCCTGGGCGGTGGCGACGAAGGCCTCGTACCCCTGGGCGACCTCTGAGGTGCTTTGGTTGCGGAACTCGCACGTTTCGACGCGCGCCGGGGCGTTCGAAGGCCGTCTCCCAGTGGCGGCAGTGCTTGAGAGTACGCGCGCGTGCTTGACGAGTTCGACGGAGAACTCAATTCGAGACGTCGCCAAAGGCCAGTTATTTTAACTAGGCTAGACAGCATGACGACTAACTAGACTAGATTTGGGGGCGGGGCGAGGTTTTTTTTGGGCGTCCCAGTGCGCCTACGGACGCGTGCGGCCGCGCGCGCAGTACGAATTTTGACGGTGACCGGAGAATTTTTTTCTCAAAATCGGAGAATGGCCGATTTTCGGACGAGGCGGCGCCAGTGGCGCTTCGGTGTAGTTGCGGCCGCGACTGGCGGGCGCCAAGCAGCACTCTGTACTGGTTTCTTCCAGTTCCAGGGATTTGTAGCTTCAACTTGACTATTGAAGTTCAACAAAATCTTCATGTTGAACGACTAACTAACTAGAATTCAGCCGGGGCGAGTTTCCGTCATGCTGTTGGCCATCCGGTCGTCACGGGCCCAGCCAGGCCAAAAACGCGAGGTCACTTTCCGCGACGAATCGGGACGAACCCCGTACGCCTAAATACATTTCGGAGACTCTGAATTCATTTTCGACGTCCTTGGTACCGTGTAAGACGACCTCGCGGAAGCGCGCGCGTGCGCGCGCGGCCGAAAATCCAAAAAAAAAAAAATAAAATACACCGTCGACGAGCTGCGGTACGCCCCCGGTACCGCCGCCTTTCCTGCCGGAGTGCCCCGGGACGTGCCCGGGTCCCGGGGCGGTAACCCAGGGGTGTCGGCGTGAACCTAGGGCTCAAAGTGCCGAGGGGGTTGACCGCCGGTATGCCTGGTAGTATGCGCCTACTATGCGGGTTTTATGCGGGTTTTATGCGGGTGGTATGCGGGTTTTATGCGGGTTTTATGCGGGTGGTATGCGGCTGCTATGCTGGTCGTATGCGGGTGGTATGCGGGTGGTATGCGGGTGGTATGCGGGTGGTATGCGGGTGGTATGCGGGTTTTATGCGGGTCGTATGCGGGTTGTATGCGGGTTGTATGCGGGTTGTATGCGGCTGCTATGCTGGTGGTATGCGTCCGCTATGCGGCGACCTCCGGCGGCCGTCGCCTGGGGTCGTCGACAGCGGTCGCCGGGCTGCTATGCTGGTGGTATGCGCCTGCTATGCTGGTCTTATGCGCCTGCTATGCGTCTGCTATGCGTCTACTATGCGTCTACTATGCGTCTACTATGCGTCTACTATGCGTCTACTATGCGCCTGCTATGCGTCTACTATGCGCCTGCTATGCGCCTGCTATGCGGGTGGTATGCGGCTGCTATGCGTCCGCTATGCGTCCGCTATGCGTCCGCTATGCGGCTGCTATGCGGCTGCTATGCCGGTGTATGCCCGGCTGGTGTATGCCTGGTGGTCGGCCCCCTCTGTCAAAGTGGCGAGGTTTTCTTCA